CCCCCCCCCCGGGGGTCCCGCGCGGGCGGCCATGGCGCAGGGCCGGCCGCGGGCGCAGGGTGCGTTGGCATGGCTTCGCGGCGCTGTGGCGCGGAGGCGGCCTGGGGGTGCCGGCATGCGGCGCGCGCTCTGCATGCCCGGGCAGGCGCTGGGGCTCGGGGAGTGGGTTGGCACCAGCAGCCCTGCCATCCGCTCCGGACGGTGACTATTAACATCGCTTCTACGTGTTGATCCTCATGGAGCTAGCAGTGCTGCTTCCCCCTACCCCAATAGCCTCGCTCCTGATCAAAACCCTGAAGCTTTACCGTAGCGTAATATTTACGCCGGTTCCTATAACGTACGGCTCCAACACGTTACCTGTGCCGCTGTAATGGTAGGCTAAAGTAGTGCTCCCTTGTAAATCTTTTACCTCGCCTTTTATTTGGTAGTTAAGTCTGCTATGCTGCTTGCTTGCTCATGGATAAACATGGTGCTGCCTGGTTTTTTTGCCTTCTACTGATTTTTCTTTTTTCCTTTCTCTCTTTCCTTTTCTTCTCCCTCCCTCCCGTCCTCCTCCACACCCCACACCCCCCTCCCTTTTTTTTTTTTTTTCTTTTTTTTACTGGACTTTATTTTTATACCCATCCACCATTCAGGGAATTCCTCAAGCTGTACTTCCCCCATTACCAAAGAGGCCTGCGCTTGAAAAAACCAATGGTGCCACCGCAGTCTTTAACACTGGTATTTTCCAATACCAGCAAGCTCTTGCCAACATGCAGTTACAGCAGCATACAGCCTTTCTCCCACCAGGTAAGTGCTTCTTGTTTGCCTTTTTCTGGGGAGGAAGAAGGGGGAATTCTGGAAAAAAGGTACTAGGAAATAACCATTTGTTCCTGCCCGCAAATGCGTAGAGGTATTTGCGCGGTGGCCGCTAGTGCCAGGGCAGCTGCTGCCAGGTGCAGGTAGCCTCTCTCCAGGCTGAGACACTGCCGTGCCTGGTGAGATATGGGCAGAGGAGGTGCTGACTGCAGGAAGGCTGGCTTCTCTCTGCTTCTCTCGGAAGCTGGGTGGGTGTTTTCAAGTCTAATATAAAAATCAGCGTCATGCTCTGTCATCCCAAATCAAAATTTGAAATCTCTCTCGTTCCTCTTCCCCTCGAATAACTTCTCTTCATTACACATCTCTTAAGCTGTTGTATTTGTTTCTCTTGCTGTAAGACCCCTTTGCCTTCATGTGCTTAGCAACAGTTGTTCTGAGTCACACACTTGAAGGTTTTGATTTTAATTATGCTGCAGTGATCATAAAAGGCACAGGCAGGCAGTCTGCAAATAGGCTAATCATGAACCTACACAAGAAATCAAGGTTCAGGCCTCTACCACTAAAGCCTCAGGGCTGATTTTGGTCTAAGCAGAACCAAGGTGCATTTGCTTTTATTCAAGAGTGATCAAATCTATACTTGTCCTAGTGTAATTGCTGAAGAATTGATGCCTGTACTATTTACATAAGCAGAAATCCCTCTGAAGTAAATGGGACTTAAAGTTGGAATATATCTTTTGGTTCTGCAAACAGTGCTTCATGAAAAATTATATATCTAGTATGTCATGAGAATTTATGCCTATATTAACACAGCTGAGTTAGTGTTTTTACATGTGAACCCACATTAAAACAGCACTATCATTCTAGGAGGTGAGTTATGAAACACAGAGGACATCTAGTAGATCTGTACTCAGAATATTGGAAGGAGTCTGTGAGGACGGCCCTTTGTAATCCTGACTAGCTGAGGGGAGGGGAGAAAAGAAAATACAACTATTCAATCTTTAAAAAAAAAAATTAAGGATTTTAGCCTAAACAGTTTTGGCAGGTGTGTTCCCAGGAATTCAGTATAATGCCTTTTAGCATTCTTTCTTGATGGTACAATCTGGCATACAACCAACATCTGTAATTTAAATGGCACAAAAATCAGTTACTTGATGTAGTACATTGTAATAACTTACTTAGGTTCCAAAAATGCATTGCAACCACTAAAATATATTAGTAAAAGCTTGTTGCAAAGCTTGTTGGAGTCAATAGAAAGACTCTGGTTGAGGAAGCTTTAGGTCAGGTCTCTAGCCCACAAACTAAAATTCATATAAAAATGCTTGCGCAATCACGATCCTTCCTGTAGATATTAAACAATGTCACAGATTTGTTTTAGCAAAGCATAACTGATGTAGTTAGTAAACCACGCAATTTTCCAGCTTCCATTAAACCAGCGAGGGGCTGGATGATTTCTGGAAGTACTCGAGCTGCTTTGAATCATACCCTTTGAATGTAGAAGCTGGGGTTATAGTTTGTGTGCGTCAGACCTCATTTGCACTACATCATTGACCAGGATCTTTCACGTTGGCACACACAACCTACCTCAGCTCTTCCTCTAGCAAGTCTGTACTGAAACCTACAGGATTTTTTGCAGTGGTTCTTGATGCTTCATTTGACCTTTCTTGACCACTGAAGTTATGTATATGTTAAACAAGAAGAATAAAGGATTTTTTAGCATGAGCTACTATAAATCATCTTTTTATATTTTTCAGATAGCAGCAGTTTGAGCTTTCCAGTAATCCAGTACTTTTCCAAAAGTTTGAAAATTTTACTTGCCACCTTGCCCTTCTTAGTTTTCCCCACTTAAAATTAACTAGCATCAGTCCTGTTTGTGCATAGTCATTTGGAAATAAGAGTTTCTCTGTCAGTCCCTAAGAACCGACAGGGGAGCACAGAGTGTGGGTGCCCTCAGCGCCACTGCCATGGAGCAGAGGCAGGTTAATTCAGTGGGGTCTGAATTAAAATGACATTTTTCAGGTTCAGACACCCAACGTGTAATTACTCAGATATGTTCTTAGTTGCTTCAGCTGCAACTTATGAAAGTGCAACAGGTCTGGAGGGCAGGACACTCGCAGAACCTACACGGTACAGGTGTATACCCCCTATGGAGGATCTTGGCAGGACCCTCCTCTCTGTGGAGCACTTCACTCTTGATGTTTCACCTTGAGAGTTTTCCACTCGTTTCAGACAAACCCAGATACCTCTTCTAAATTGTAAGGCTTAATTCTGGCTGCCGGTATGCAAGGGCATGGAAAGCAAATAAAGGGATCGTCCATGCCAGCGGATGGACACTGGCACTCCAGCACACTTTAAATGATTAAATGCTCTTAGATACTCATCTCACCACTCTCAGATAAAGCTCCCTTTTTGCACGGCTCCCCTGTTGAGGTCTCCCAGAGTCCTCGGCTGCTGGAAGCTGTCCCCAGGCTGAGAGGGGAGTCGAAAAGGTGTTGCAAGAAAGAACTGGGAACACTTGTGGTGTTGGCTAGTTGAAATAAGCGGAGTTAGTCTGCTGAATGAGGAGGCTCTGCACAACTTAATAGATGTTCACAGCTTGTTTTGGTACTTCGGTCCTGGCTGCCGACTCTTGACACCTTGGCAGACACGTGGGCAAATGTTTCGCTGTGGGGCTGTGAACTTGCAGAGCACCGATTACTTGGCGTTCACTACTTCTGCACGTGCTCTTTGTCCTGCAGGAACTGTGAGCTGGCTGGGGGCATGTTTGTACGTGCAGACAGAGAGCTCCTATGTGCAACTAGATGAAATTCATGCCCTGGTGCTTGTTACCATCCTTGTGCGTCAGTTCAGTGTCTCCTCAGTTGTGCTGATACAGCTGTTCTGGCCTGTGTGTGTAAACTGGGTGACCAGAGGGTCTTTGAGAAGGGTAATCCTGCAGAAGAAAGGGGTCAGGTTTACAGGATACTCCCTGGAGCTGTTGTCCTGATGCACCTGCAAGGGGCAGAATTGCAGCAGGGCAGCTGAACCATGTAGCCAGCAGTGGCGAGGCTTCAGCCACCTCTGCTGTTAAGTTAACGCATTGCATATTTATTTAGTTACTGCAGCTTCAGCTCCAGAGAACTTACTTGCTCATCGCTGGGACTCAGTCAGTGCACAGATGCTTTCCTAAAGTGGTATCCGTGTAAGCACCTTCCTCCGTGGGGCTTCTGGGTCTGTGTAAAAACACTGCTCTCCTCCAGAATGTTAGGGAGGGAAAGATCAGGCACAACTGTTCACCTCTACAGGAGTGCTTATGTTGTCTATGATGATATTTTTAATTAGGATTTAGTAGACTGGACAGAATAAATAGACTGAGAGGAATAATAAGAGGGAGAGAAGAGAAAAAAAAACGCTTAAAACACCAGTAAACATAGAATATTTATAAAAATAGCTTTATTCCACTGCAGAAATAATCTGGTTGTGAAGTTATGATCAGTTAACTGAGCACATCCTTGAATTAAAACTCTGCCTTGTGCTGAAAAGCTAAGGAACATTTGAAACTGCACATTTATTATTCATGCATTCTCATTAGTCAGTCAAAGCTTCTGAAGTCAAGATGAATATTAAGGTCATAGCAAAAATGATTTTTATTACTGGTAAGAGGGTCATACAGCATTATGTCTTCATATTTGCAAGTTATTGCACCCTAGCTAGTATTTTCATTTCTGCCTTATGTTCATTTGCTTTGATTCCCTTTCAAAACTGTGTGCGCTGGTTATAATGTTAATGATGATAACTCAGACTAAAATTTTGAGCTGAAAAGCTTTACAGTGATATTTCAGAGTCTAACTCGTCTTTAACATGTAGACCTAATTATGCATGGAATGACGTAATATTCCAGATTTAATGAAGTATGTACAACCTTATAAATAGGGCACTTCTGCAGAGACAGAACTCAAAGGTTCTTCTGTGTAACCTCATTAACACCACAGAGATGTCATAAGAGGGACCGAGAAAGCAGTTTTACTTACTGTTTGCACTTTATAGCATTTTTTAATCTTCCAAGTGGTCCCCTTGCCTTCACCCAGGATTCGTGCATGGAGAAGTCAGAAAAGCTACCCTTCTGTTATTTAACCTTTCTTTGTGAATATTTTCAGTCTCCGCCATGACACAGAAAGAGAAGGGTAATTAGGAAACTTGATTATGCCCTTTTCTTTGTAGCCTTGCAGATACAGTGATGACAGAGAATAACCTTGTCCCCAGCAGTAATTATACTGACTGACTTTTTCCCTGCTTAGTTAAATGCTCTTGAGATTGTGCAAGCCACTACAATGCTTGGCACCAGCTGAAACAATTTCCTGTGCCCCTTGTTACGGTCACGTAATGTCAAGGAAGCAGCATTGCCGTGGCTCCCACTGGCAGTCTTCTAGAATACGTTTCCATTTCCACTCCAATCTCTGTTCCCAGATTTCAGAGCTTATTTCAGTTTCTGCTGTGTCAGGCATAATTAGCGGTGTTAACAAATGTTAAATAAAAAAGTAAATCGTTTATTAAAAACGGATATTCTGAAATATCAGTATATCTTTATCATATCATATGGGAAGCAAAAATAGAAGATTCTGAGTTCAGTCTGGTGGAAGGCGTTTTGCTGTGTAAAGCAAACAGAATTACCAACTTAGCGATAGTTAAAAAATGATACCATGATGTTCCTAAAAACACCATACTGCTGTTGGCTCTCTAGTTGCAGGGCAGAATTCACCAGGTGCTGTCACTTCAGTTATTCTTGTCTAGCCTAAAGAGAGTTGCAGGTTGTGAGCCCAGACACCAGCAGCTTAAAATATATCCAATAATGTAGAAAAAAATGCTGAACAAGTATTCTTAGCTGCTGCCATGAGCTGCATGGGAGACTTTAACTATTCAGTCACTCCTCTGACCTGCATATTAAGCACACAGACCAGAGGACGGTCAGGATCATTTCACCAGCAGCTCACAGGGGTCGTACAGATACGACAGAAGTACTGCATGCCGAATTCACCTGGTTTTTGCCTATATATTACCTAAATATTGGAGCAGTCAGACTGCAACTAATGAAACAGTATAGATCAAGTCATCACTCTGCAAGGAATCGTTGCTCCAGCCCATCCGAGATGGGCCCCAGCTGAAAAGGCTGTTCTAGCAGGAGGGGAGAGCCTCGCTTGCCTCCTCTCTCCGTCTGCCTTCCCCGGACAGAACAAGCCTTAGGCTGCGCTTCCCCAGCAGCTGCAGGGAGAGGGCACAGCGCTGCTAATCCCTCGCTCCGGCTACTCCGTGTGTGTCCTAGCAGGGGTGGACCTCAGGTACCTGTAGGCAGGTGCAACTTGAAAGTATTTTAATCTGAGGAAGCCAGGGTAAAGACCATTACAAAGCTTATGTCAAAAGGCAAAAAGATTTAAGACTAAAAGAGTTTTAAAATAAAGCTAAAGAAACTTTTCCTAGCCATGCTAATATTCCACAGTGCTACAAAGGCAAACACAATATACCAGCACACAGTTCAATCAGCTCTTTCCCCTTCACTGAAGACTAGTTCTAATGGATCACTGTGCTATTGTATGGTTTGATTGTGCTGACAGTTACATGCCACTGTTCCCATAATAACAATTTTTCTTCTTTGTTCAAATGAAATTTTCTAATTACACGTGTGATGGGTTGTTTTAATTCTTTTCCCTTTCCAAATCCACCTTCCTGTTGCAATGCATGATGGGCAGGCTCAATATTGTGCATGACACCCGCTACAAGTGTTGGTAGGTGCCAGCTTTGTTTCTTGATTATCTTAAACCTGTGGTGCAGCTCACAGACCCTCAAAATCCACTGCTAGATTTTAACTTATAGCTCTTGTGCCAATCCATCTCCCTTAGCCTCCTGCACTAACACCTGTCAATTAAATGCAATTGTTTTATTTAATTGACATGGACACATAGACATTGTTAATTTTGTATAGCAGTTGTTTGAATTGCACATGGTTCCTTGGTGGATTTTGATTGGACTATGAGTTCCAGTGTTTAGAAACTTATCTCGTGTTAAGTAAAGACTGTACCTTACTATAGCCACGTAGACATATACTGTCCTTCAACAAGATACATTTTTGTTTGCAGTAAATATTTGGGTTGAATTCTTAAAAGACAAAAATTTGTAAATATAAGGGCATTTAAAAATTCTTCTGTTGATTTTTGTATTGAAATGGTTAAGCTTGTTTGTGTCGATTTTCTTGATTTGATGGTAACAAGCATTTTCCCCTTTTTTTCTCTTTCATTTCCCTCCCCTCTTTCTCCCTGGAATGTTGTCCTGCTTTGCACTGTGGTTGCATGTCACGCGCTGGCAATGATGTCTCGGGCTTTTTGCTGTGATAAATACCATGCTCAATTATCCTACCACATGTCGCTCTGGTTCCCATACTGCTACACTCTTCTGTATGTTTGCTTATATGATTTTCCTTCCGAAAGTTCCCATGGTGCACGGTGCTACGCCAGCCACTGTGTCTGCAGCAACAACATCTGCCACAAGTGTTCCCTTCGCTGCAACAGCCACAGCCAACCAGGTTTGCTAATTTACAGCTTTGTTCCTTACAGACAACTTGAAATTGGTGCTTTTAATGAGCATGGGGGTTTTGATTTTACCTCTTGTTGGCCTACACATTCTCTCTAAGACCTGCAGCACAGCTTAATAAGCCTTTGTCCATGCTCAAAAGGTGCTGCAGTTCCATTTCTGATGCTAAAAATAATTGATAATAGAGTTTCTGACTCAGTCTTAACATTTATGGGCCGTGCTGCTTATTTCTGCTCTCAGAGATGTAAAGAGAAAGGGATAATACACGGAACCCATTATTTATTTCTACTTCTGTGAAGCCGACAGTTCCTTTTAGTGCAGAACTCCAGTGAAAGCCAGTAAAACCTTTGTGCAGAGGGGTTGCAGGGTCAGAATTTTAACAGTCTGAATTGAGCAGTCTGAACATGTTCTGACTCTCCTCTTCCAGGAGCAAAACAAAAACGTTTGAGCATGGGCCACACAGAAACTTCTTTTTAAACCTTTGTTTCAGCTTGTGATTCTGCTAGGAAAGGGCCGATTACTTGTTGCCGTAGGCAGACGTCAGTTAAGAAAATGTCCATTAGAGCCTGGCTTTATTTCTAAATAGCTACCCCAATTGTTGCCGTGTTTGGATGTGTTTCAGGAATAAAAGAATTAATGCTGCGCTAAATAAGCGATTAAAAGTCCTCCCTGAAAAGCTAGAAACTATAGTCAGAGATGAGTACCAGGGGCCAGAGGAGCTGCACCTGAGAACAGAACGTGGCCTGCTGTTCTTATCTAGCTGGGTTGTCAAAAATGCAGATTTCTGTAGTACATCTGGCTGAAAGTGCAACAGTAAAAACTTTTAAAAGACCCTCTTCTTTCTTTTATAAAAACAAATGTTTTTTTGAGATTTTACTAGGAAGTTAGAATTGCCTTATGTCATGAAACTATCAGTTCTGGTCTAATATGCAGGTATTACTCTCGACTCAGTGGGAATCACACATGCCTTTTAGAAAAGGGAACTAAACATTTTCTTTAGCATTTTGCAGGTGTGGTTCTGTATGTGAAATTAATTCTGAGGATAAATGTCAGTTTTTAAGGCAGGCTCACCTGACATACTCAGCTTCCTAAGTCATTAGAGCTAACTCCTTAAACAATTTCAAAATCCCATCGTAAAGTTGTCAGGTTTGCAGCTGCAGTTGGACATTAAGCAGCAACACCCGTGCGCGTGGCCTGCTGCACCTGCACCTCTGTGCTTGGGGTGGATGGCGCCGGCTCCTGCAGAGCCGGGAGCCCCCGGCCTCGCTGCAGTGCGAGGTACCAAGTGCTGCAGGCTCCCGCAGGATTAAGTCCAGAGTCTTTGGCTTTGAGCCTCTCCACCTTTGCCTGTTGAGCACTACCATTTTGTACTGCGCCCAGCTGTACGTTCTTTGTTAACCTGTCTGCTTACTGATCTCTCAAAAATATTATTCCAAAAATTACACTATTGTAGTGATATATAGGTGTGCACCTCCTGAGTCTCAAAAGGGACCTGGATATTTTGCAATTCCAAACAATACTCAGGTTAGTCTGCTTAGCAAGTAGCACTTTCTGCTCTTGAGGAGTGTTTGCTGAGTGACCATGTCACTCACAGATTTAAACCAGCATAAGAATTGCTTTGTATTTTGAAAAGCTGGTTTATAGACGTGACTACCTCTGCACATGTGTCACCTAAGCAAGCAACCACCTGTATGCCCCATGTTTCTTGATATTGTAATTTATTGCACCATACAATTAAGTATCTCTGTACCCTCCATAAGTCCAGAGAGTTGTGAGAACAAGCCAAGCCACAGAAAAACATCATTATTTTTTAAAATCATCTCTGTGTAAATAACCATGCACTTTCCCAAACAGATTACAGGGAAACTTTCTGTTGTAGAATCTGATCATTTCATGCATATCCTCCCTGGAGCCTCATAACACACTTAGTAAAGTACTGCAGCCAAACCTCAATATATACATATATTATGAATATATGTATATACTATGTGAGCAATGCTGAAATTATTTAATGCCACACGATGCAATGTGCATGCATGCCAAAAGTCTTAAGATCTGGCCCTTCATCTTCATTGACTGGTGTTGAAGGTCCTTGGTATGTTCCAACAGCACTATCCCTGATGCTTCTACACAGTTGGGTGCAACAGCCTGTCCTGCAGCAGTAGAAAAAAAAATGGTATGAGAAGCTTCATTATGCTTGAAGCACATTTCTGTACAAGTTGGCAATGTTGTAGAGGTGTGTGGAGTTGCTAGGGGAGGAGAGGGCACAAGGGGTGGAAACCAACACCAAGACCTGTAAACGATTTAGTTAAGAGGAAACCTCCCCATTCCCTTTCTTATGCGGGTTAACGGGTCAGCCTTAGCATCCACGAGGAAAAAGAGGCTTTTCAAGCGCGACAGCCGTTTGTGATGCTACAAATCAATTTTGTGTCCTATGCCCCAGCATGTTTCCCTGTACGTGGGCGCATCTATTTGCTCCCTCCAGCCGGACTCCCAGTCCTGTCTGTAATGCGAGGTTGCTCACGGTTCCTCCAACACCTGCATGCTTTAGTGCTCTCCCTTCTCAAGGGAGACCTGCTAGGTCTGTTTGGGCTCGCTCCCGTGGACTCCAGCCTGTGCACTGCACACAGAGGGCTGCACGGCTGGGACCCAAGGGTGGGATGTAGAATATAAGTTTGTTACTTGTACTGCTGGTAATCTACTCTGATTTTAATTTTTTTTTTTTTTTTTTAATGGGAAGCTGAGTTGATGGGGCACTTCCAGAGAGCCCCGTAGTGAATTCTGTTTACGCAGACAAACATTTTGAGAATTGTTTCACTGCTTTGGGGAGTCTTAGCTTTTCAGCTGATCCACCGTGATGCCCGCAGCGGCCGTGGGAAGAGCAGGCAGCTCTTCTCCACAGTGGATTTTCACCAGCCGTGAAAATCAAGCTCGGGGCATCCTAGGTTTGGCATTCAGAAACGAAGACAGTGAAAGCAGTGAACACTTCACAAAATCAGACTGAAACAAGGCCACTGTAGAATTTATAATTTTTAATGATACACTGAAAACACAGAATTTTGTGTAGGCCAACAAAAAGGGCTATTGTCAATTACTGCACTGCATGACTTTTGTAGATTTTAACTTCTCTTATTTCCTAAACAACCAATAATACTTATTTATATTTGTCAAGTAGTACTTAACACAATGTTTTCCAGTTTTAAGTTGCTATTGTAGCACTTCAGTTGACTTTAACTTATAGTTACAATATAAAATCCACCAACTCACAGCTGATCCTCACTTTTCCAAACTTATGTTCTGTAGCAAAATGCTGTGTCTCTGGGTCGGCTCATGGCACATGTTATTCATTGTTTACATTTTTTTACCTATAGATACCCATAATATCTGCCGAACATCTGACTAGCCACAAGTATGTTACACAGATGTAGACATTTTGTCATCAAACAGTAAGTTCCTAATGCGTTGTTCCTTGCAGTTTTCTTACCTATATGTGTGCATAATTTGTCTTTTTCAGGGACAGAATGTTTTTATTTTCTTTCTAAGAAAACTAATAAGATATGGGGGAAGAGGCTCTGAACTCCGCTGACATGCCATTCCTCTCTGAGCAGAGATCCCGTAGTTTGCAGTGACCCCGTTAGCTAGTGTGTTGGGCCAGATGTCAGTATTAGTTTCCACATATAGAAGGAACATATTATACGTATGGATAAACTGCTGAATAGCAAAATCAGAGAGTCTAAAATTAGAGTTTTACGTTTTGTTTATAAAGGATGATGTCTCTAGCGCTGATGTGAGGCAGGTCGGGGGGGGGGGGGGGGGGTGTTTCTTTAGAAAGAACTAATTTTAAATCTCCAAATTTGGAAAGCCGGCATCTCTGAAAATACTGATGTAGTAGTCTGCCTAGCTGAAGCTTGATGTCTCTTGAACACAGGTTATCAGATTACAATGCATTACGTACAGCATTTTCCTTGCATAGGTGATACGGCAAGAGAGGTCCCACAGTGCAGGCGCAGTTCATACCTGCGTTGTGTTGGTGTGAACAGCGGTTGCAGACAGTGTATGTCAGCTTTTTATACTGCAGCCTTTCATCCCACAAAGTCTGAAATCTAGGTTTGTGTGCCTAAGCTTGAGAGATTTTTTCCCCTGTATCTTCCTATGAGTAAACTGTAGTTTCCAGTCTGTCACTAAATTGCCTGTTGTCATTAAGACCACCCGCAGCACATCACCTCCCCTAGGATAGCTTGTCATTTGTATTACCTTTCTCTCCCTTGCACTCCGTTTCTGCTGTTTTTTATCGAATGGCTCAGCTATAATGGAATTATTACTTAGGGTAAGGATTAACTGATTTGCCGCAGTGGGTTTATAATAATAGTTATTCCTTTCAGCTTAGCATAAGCATTTTTACACTGCTTAAGTGACTCAGGTGGGATGCCTCTAGTCTGCAGCCTGAGCTTGCTGCCAGGCTTCCCTCTGCAGTCAGCTGGGACTGGGGTGTCCCCATTTTGGAGACCGTCCGGAGGTGGAGGAGCAATCACTCTCTAGAGTTGTGATAGGCAATAGAGACCAGAGAAATAGGTACACTAGATGGGCAGTTAAGTAAGAAAAATTATCTTGGGAACATAGAGCCTGGATTTCTAAGGATGTTTAGGTGCCTTTCTGATACTGGTTGGGCTCCCAGGTTTTACAGGGCAGCGGCAGCAGGGTCTGGGAAGAGAGAGGAGCCCAGAGCTGCTGGGCAGCGCTCACACAGCACTTTGTGGGAGCTGCCTCCCAGGGTCTGGGCTCTGGGGTCTGGAAACTGTCCCCCGCATTCTGATCCCGCGGCCAGGGGCTCAGGAGCAGCGGGAGGCCAGTGTATTGTGCACTTTTATCACTGCAGAATTAGGGTGCAAAGTGAACCTCTGCTGCAAGAATGTTACTGAAGGGAAATCTCACGGGGTTTGGGTGCAAGCTTCCCCGATTCTCGGTGGCAGATTTCCCTGTTGCAAATGCAAAATTTGGGCTGATGTGGTGCTAACAAGAAGTTACGACTGTGTTGAAAATGCTTTGTCTTTTTTCCTTTCTAGATCATAACTAAAGAGAAAAGGACAGTGTGTTTGGGTTGAGAAGAGGACGAGCTCATTAGCCATAATGTATATACCGTCAAGCAACACTCGGAAACTCCCTCAGCAGTAAGACATCCACACATTGCATGTTAACAAGATGAAACAAGAACTTGGAAATCCACTGCACACTGTTGCCTATATACTTTGTACATTTAATTGATATTTGTGCTGAGGTGATCTTATTGTCTAAAAACTACAACATTGTCTATCTTTTCTAGCACCGAAGTATGCATATGGATTTGAATATGCATATATAGTCTATTTCCTACATAATCATGTATGTCACCTTGAAAAGACAGACGATGATGTAACCATAAATCTATTATGTATTGGTACGTCTGTAGACCAAGATATAATTTTTTAAAGTAAGTTTATTTCTTTCAAGGTTTACAAATAACAAAGGTGCACCTTGTATTTAAAATTGCCATTATAGATGAGAGCGTGCATGCACAGTAATTTTTGTTTAAGAGTAATATTTTTAATGTAATAGATTGTAAGAAGTGGTAAGAGAGGTATCTGACAGAGATGAATGTGCCAAGCAAAACCACAACTGTGTATATTTTAAAGCACATCAATGGCTTTAAATACCATGTTGTTAAGGATTCTCATGAAGTGCCATAGACTGTACATCCGATTAGAGTATTATTTCTGCAGTGTTATTTTCAGAACCACGTTTTCACTTACTTTAGTAGTACTAATCAGTCAAAGGGCACCATTCTGTTTCAAACCAAAGCTGTCTCAGAAATGGCCAACTATTCCTTACAGTAACAGTAGACAGCACAAGAAAGATACTCTAGCCGTACAAATTAACCCATACTGGACATATATATAAACTATTTTAAGGCATTGTAGTGTAATATTTATGCATATTTTACTGTATAACGTGATATATGAAAGGGAAAAGCCATTTCTGAGACACAGTAACAAATGTTTGAGGAACTTCTTTTGCTTCTATTTATAGCCTCTGTCAAAAGTCAAAAGGACTATAAATGTTTTGCAGAGATGGGTTTCACTTTTACTTCATCAGTCACACTTTACATGGTGACTCTAAACAAAGACGAAAGAAGCACTGACATCAGATGCATGACAAACCAAAATATGAAAAAATGGAGATGTTAATTAGCGTAGAAATTGGGTGGGTTAAATACTTGGGTGAGTTTTATATGTGATTTTTTTGTTCAGATTAACTGCTTATAGCCTTAGAAAGCCTTTACAAAATAAAACAAAAAAATAGATGTGCATTCAAGTTTTAAGAATGGATTCATCCAAAGGAATTCCTTTTTGTGGTTTGGATGTTGCAGCTAGTAAAGGATATTTTTGCTCTGTTCAGCAAAGTGCTGAAGTGGGGGCCAGGTCACTGGTAGCGTAGCGTGGAGTGGAAGAAGCGCGAGTTCGGTTGTAGAACTCTCCATACTTCCAAGTTTACTGCGAGTTTTTATGCTTGAGAGAGATGCTTTATAGTATAAGAATGATGTGTTGATTTTACTGATTGTACTGTACATCTATTAAAGCCTTAGATTATTACATTACGGGTTAAAACCCATACCAATGTAATTTCAATCGTGTTAAGAAAGTATAGGTGACTTCACATGTTATTGTAGTTACTTAACATTATAGAATATTACTTATTTTTTTTCTTGTTAAAAGTGTAGTTTTTCTTTCTTACATTTATTAGATTGTTTTCGTTTTCTATTACCAGTTGAATACCATTTCAGTTTATAGAATTTTGTTTTATTAGAATTTACTGATGACTTTTTCAAAATACAAAAAAAGTAGTTTTCTTCATAACATACTCAGTTTTGAATTTACATGTAGTGTCATATGAGTATTCGTATTATTGTTAACTAAATGATTTATATTTTACTGATTTAATATTACAATGTAAGAATGTCAGTCATTGTTAGTTCTTGTCTAGTTTTCATTAAAAGAACAAAGATCTTTTATATGGATATCTTATAATTATATAATCATTGCTAAGTAAGAAGTTAAGTTGTTGCTATCGCAACAATCCTGGCAGACAATTGAGTAATATTTTGATGATTTATTTTGTTTGTAATTAGTTATTATGAGAAAATCTAGTTCCTAGATATTAGAATAAAATTTATTTTCTACTGTATCCATTTCAAATGTTAAAATATTGTTTAAATATTTTTTGAAATCCCTGAATATCAGGCCTTGTTATAAATAAGCTGCATAATCAATAGATCAAGGGACTTTTTGTTGATAATCCAAATACTCAAAGTTTACGTAACAAGAATTATAGTGTGTGTGTGCAAACTCTTGAGGGTTGATTATGCTGCAGTTTAGCATGTGGGAACGTATAGAGAGAAGGTTGACTTTTTGCACTTCTGTATATAGTCAAAAAAGAGAGAAACCTGTATAATAGTAAGATCTTATTTTGAATAAAAATGTCTATAATTACAAGGAGTTTTGTTAAGGCTAATAAAATGACAGGCTGAACAAAATTGCTTGCAAAAGTGGCACAGAGTTAGCACTCCATACCCCTTCAAAAAAGTTGCTTTGCTTTATGTGGACAGCTTGTAGTTTGCCAGGATTTTTTCAGCTGGAAAGATATGCCATCCTTCCAAGATCTCATGACTGACAAAAGCTCCACTGGTTCAAATCTGCCTGAAAATCATTAATAAAGAAAAAAAAAAAAAAAAAAAAAAAAAAAAAAAAAAAAAAAAAAAAAAAAAAAAAAAAAAAAAAAAAAAAAAAAAAAAAAAAAAAAAAAAAAAAGAAAAAAGCAGGTACTTCAAACCATCAAGGTGAAATCATGGCTCAAATATTCCGTACATTATTCAAAAACTACTGCATGTTTAAAGTATCAAAAAAATATATTAAAGATATATGCTATTCAAACCAGTTTCTGACAATTTCAGTGGTTTATTGTTCACAAAAAAGATTCTTCAAAACAAATACTGACGTTCACAAAAGAGTTAAATCATGAACAGGCAAACCAAACAGCACACCGTAGCTGTAGTTGTTATGTGATTATTTTTTATTGCTGTAGTGGTCCTGTTCTTTTAGCAGGTGAAAAAAAAAGAAAAACCTGGGAAATTTTACCATTTTAATGGAAAGCATTCAAGAAACCTTGTCATTATATAAGCCAAAGCTGGAAAGAAAAAGTGATTAGGCCATTACTTTGTCTGATCTCTCCAGTACTCACACTGAATAAGTAATGAAGTTGCACTTATTTGCAACCCCGCAACTTTCATCTGCTGAAAGGACAGATGTGCTTGGTTTTACTATTATGTAATCACAGACTTACTTTTTGCTTGTAGTTGCTCCAAATTATGTACTCTGTCCTGGGCTGCAATTTGTTTTTATGCTTATTTTATTATTACTGCTATAGTTGACCTTGCTGTATGGAAAAAATAAAGTGAAATTGCCCTAATAAAAATTCTCAATGATGTTTTTCTATATCAGGTAAAAAATCGCACCGCTTTCTTTTTTATACTTTTTTCATTTTATCTGCATGTTTGTTTGACTGAAAGGATATCGTTTATTTGGGGGAAAAAACCTGTATGCTGGTATTGGGGTTTTTTTCTTCAACAGTGCGTAGTATGTTAAATACACAGGATATATATTAAGAATGCTAAGTATACGTGATACTATTGTTAAATCCAGATGATAAATATAAAGCAACCGGATACCATAGATCCAGACCAAGCTGTTATTACCCTCTTGTGGCAATACTTCCAAGATGCAGGTAAAAGAAAGGGACCCTCAGCATCTGCCTGCCCCCAGTTTTGGTGCCCGCAGCAGGCAAACGGGGTGCAGCCAGGCAGTGCCTGACGTTAGAGGGAGCCCCATTTCCACCCGTTACTGTTGCTTGATTAGTCTGGCACAAATCGCTCTGATAATCAGAATTACTGACGAAAAAAATCACAGGCATAATTGGGGAAAGGAAGCGCATCAGAACGCTTGTTTTCCACGAGGATTTCGGGTGTCTCCTGCGTTTGGGAGCGCAGCCTGAGCGGCCTCACGGAAGAGCTCGCGTTTCAAAGGCCGGTTTTATTTGCTTCAATCCTCAGCTCAGCACATGAGGACGCCTCATTCCCATCGGCTGAACACCCAGCTCGTTTGCACTGCCTTTGCACCGATACTTGCGACGACACCAGCATTTTCATTTATCATTGCATTTAGCTGCCAAGTTAAAAAATAATGTGTCGAGCAGCACGAATGTTCTAAATTAGCAAAAATAACAGGACTGTATTTTCCTCTGTAACTGATGAAGGCGGCCACGGAGGTTCCCGTGACAGCTGCTATCGGTTAGTGCTCCCGCGACCGAAGCCGGGCAGGAGGCTGCTCGGCGACGCTGCCCCTGGGTCACCAACCCCGCAGAGGTCGGTGTCGCGCAGGACCCTCCGCTGCAGCCGGTCGGGTCTGTCCCATCGCGCCCGGGCGGTGTCGGGGGACTCAGGCCGCAGCCGCCAGTCAGCAGGTACCGAGCAGCAGCTCTGCCCGCAACGGGGCTCTTGCTGGAGAGCTGAGAGAGCATAAAACCACTCGGATGCTGAGGAGAACCACGAGAAGGAGCTCCTGCCAAAGCGGCGCCTGCCGCCTGCGGCCCGGGAAGCCCGCGGCCGTGGCAGCTCGCCAGCCGGGGCTGGGACGGTAACAACTGCAGGAGCAGTAACAACTGTAACAGTTGTTACAACCAAATAAAAGAATTTTGTTCAAAGGGATCCACGCGTGTCTGCAGCTGAGATGCTTTCTGAAAGGAGGAAAGGATTCTCAGCCTTTGGAGAAGGAGGAGCAGAAACCTGAAAAGGAGTTTTAATTGCTTTTGTGTGATTTGTGATGAGAACAGGGAATGGCCTCAGGAAGAAGGAAAGAGAATAATTCTGAGGGTCTTTTTGCATCCACATATTCGTTGTAATAAAAAAAAAAAAGCCTATTTCCTGCCCCAACAGAGCTGATCACACCACTTTCTGTGGTCCCAGCAGTGGCATCACGCGATGCCTCGGTGCCTCACGCTGGTGCCAGCGCAGCCTTGGCACTGGGTCGAGGCGCTGGGTTGGGCACAGCTCTGCCCTCTGGCAGCACACAGGGACACGGAGCAAGACGTGGGGCCGGGGAGAGCGGCACGGCCAGCCTGCGCACCCACCGTGCCACCGCGCTGTGCCGTGGGATGCAGCAGCCCATCACAGCATCAGCTCCTGCCACCCCTGAGGCGCTGGGAAAGCAGGTTTGGAGAATTGCACAGGTGCCCGTGGTGGTGCTGAGCAGCCCCGGGGGTGGGTGGGTGGGGGTGGGCATGATGGGAATCAGCTGGGGGTAAAGGGCTGGGGGGCGGGGGGG